AGATTTTTAAAGATTGCATTAATTTTGATGGTTTTGACCCCATCCCTCAGGCCCCAGGGGGGTGTTTAGGGGCCACGAATTTAACAATTTTTGTTCCCCTTTACCCATAGATGCTATATGCCAAAATTGGTTGAAATTGGTTTGGTGGTTCCAGAGAAGAAGCTGAAAATGTTCAAAAGTTTACGAACGACGGACGATGCACGACAACGGACGAAAAGAGATAGCAATAGGTCACCTGAGTGACTCAGGTGACCTAAAGAAGAAAGAAAATAAAAAAAACGAAAAAGAAAGAATAATAGAAATATTCTAGTTGCACATTATACGTCATAACATGTATATTATCTTCATTCATACAAGAATTAATTTATCCAGTTAATTTAATTCATCTATTTGATATTTGCGGCATGGTAAATACTAAATCACAATTTTCATGTATATCAGAAAAGGACATATGGCTGGATAAAAACCTCCCCGGCTCCTTCTTTGTTCTTTCTCCGGTAGTTTTATTATTTTTTTTTATTTGTACAAAATATGTATTTGTAAATTATACAAAAATATTAAAAGAATTATATGTACAAATATTTCTATGCTTCCGAAATAATTCATAAATCACCATTTATTAATCACTGATGATACACGTAACAGTCTTTCTAATTTGGTTCTTAGTTAAATCTATAAAATTCTTTATTGAGAATTAATTGGGATCTACTTTATACTCACAATATATCCCACAGAAATTAAAAGTCCTTGACTGTTCATATTATTTATAAGAATAAGCCTGACTTATGACCATTCGAAAGTACATGTATAAATCATGACAAGTTTAATCTTTAAAAAAAAAAGACCTTTTACATTTTGAAATTAAAAAAAAGCATGGTCCTTAGTTTCAAATATTACATGAACAAGCCATGAAACTTTAATTAACAATATGAAAATAGGAATTAATCAGTTAATCGTCACTTGATAAGCATATGTGAGATTGATTTTGGTTTCCAGTGTAACATATCTAAAAAGGAGAATATTTTCCTGTGACATTATATAAATACTGCATGTAGTTGAGTGTAACATTGAAAATTTTCACCCCAAGAAAACCATTGTCAACCGAGGCGCAGCCGAGGTTGACAAGGGTTTTCGAGGGGTGAAAATTTTCAATGTTACACTCAACTACATGCAGTATTTATTATATTATACTGAATGTTTTATACAAATACATATTACAGTGAACCTTGCGCGCATGAATTCTGCGCAGTCAATATTTTTTGGAATAACACCCGTCGTCAAGCAATGTTAACTGTTGCTACGCTGGTGGGCATGGCTTCATTATTCAGCGGGTAATAGTGTTTTTTAACAAATGTTTCTCGACGAATCAGATTCAACTAATTTACATGAAAGTATAATATTTTAAATTGTAACGGGATCGTGGAAAATGCATGCGATATTTTATTAAGCCTATTCCATAAACATGTCTGTATAGTTCAGGTTTTTCTTTCTTCGGGGGAGTGGGGTGGACCTGAAATAATCTGACAATTAAACACTCGTATCAAATTTTCTTGATAAATTGGGATCATGTAAAACCAAGCATACTTGTATGTTACCAGCCCTTGGACATGTTTTCTGTCGCAACTTATGCACAAATTTTACAAAACACCAAAAAAAAAAATTATGATGTAAGAAAATTAGCTACATATCGAGCATTTGATGGACAAGAAAAAAAATCAGTGTTTATTCAAATCATTATTTCAGCAGTAAAATTTATTTCCTTTGATCACTTAAAATGATTTTTAAAAAAAAATTCTAAATAGGGACAAAAAAGTCCCTTTACCTAAAATATTTTTGCTATGGAGAACAAAATGTAATAGATACATATCTGACATTTTACAAAATAAAATTAAAAAAAGAAAAATGTGTAATCAGCCTGTCAATATATTCTTGATCCGTCTATCTAATTTCTGTAATCTTTCGACATGTAACGTCACATTGGCGGAAGAGATGCCTCGGTGTATATTTTTGTGTGTTTATGTCAATAGACGAGCCAAGACTATAAAGTTTAGATATTCCTTTGTGTTATTCTTTTGTAGGGATCATTTTTTGGGGACTTAGTGAATATTTATTGTCACAAAGATCGTAATGGAATCCTTTGCGTGAATGGTTCGAAACAGCAAATAAAGACAAAGGAAGTGGAGAATGTGTATTTTCGTGATTATACAACAAAATATTGCATAAACAACTAATGGAAAGGTAAATTCTATCATTGATTCAACAATTTTGTGCATTATAAGAAAAAAGGTCGCGTATAACAATAAGAATAAGTCTAAGATTTTTCTCAAATCTCCGCTTACATGAGACGAATCTCAGAAACGGTGGTGGTACAGTGTTTTAGGAAAATCTCAGCTGAGGCAGAAATCTATGATTTGAGGTTGAGATTTGAGCTGAGATTTTTATATGTTGGTAACCCCGAAGCCAGGTCTGGACAAATTCCCCTCTACAGACAGATGGACAGACATGCTGATTCCAATATACCCCCCAAACTTTGTTTGCGGGGGTGTATAATAATTAACATTACCTGTTAATGCTTGCATATTTATATGACTAATCTGGACCCTGTTGTTGTTCAGAGGAGAATTTAAAAAAGATTTTTATGCCCCCATATCAAAGATTCGGAGGTATTAGTTTTTGCCCTGTCCATCCGTCTGTCTGTCTAATTGTCCGCAAAAACTTTAACCTTGCCAATAACTTTTGATTGGTTGGAGCTATGGCTTTCATATTTCACATGTGTATTCCTTGTGACAAGACCTTTATTTGGGTACCACCATATTTGACTTTTGACCTTGACCTTGGAGTTTGACCCAGTTTTGCAAAATTTTACCAAACTTTAACCTTGGCCATAACTTTTAAACAATTGGTGCTAGGGCTTTTATACTTCACATGTGTAATCCTTGCGACAAGGCCTTTCGTTGGATACCAACAACTTTGATCTTGACCTAGGAGCTTGACCTACTTTTCAAAAACTTAAACCTTGGCCATAACTTTGAACGGTTGGTGCTAGGGTTTTCATACTTCACATATGTAATCCTTGTGACAAGCCCTTTTTTTGGATACCAACAACTTTGACCTTTCGACCTTGACCTAGGAGTTTGACCTACTTTTCAAAAACTTTAACCTTGGCCATAACTTTTGAACGGTTCGTGCTAGGGCTTTCATACTTCACATATGTAATCCTTGTGACAAGACCTTTCTTTGGATACCAACAACTTTGACCCCTTGACCTTGACCTTGGAGTTTGACCTACTTTTGGAAAACTTTAACCTTGGTCATAACTTTTTAGCGATTGGTGCTATGGCTTTCATATTTCACCTGTGTATTTCTTGGAAGAATGCCTTTCCTTGGGCAACATTTATTTTGACCATTTGACCTTGACCTTGATGTTTGACATACTTTTGAAAAAACGTTAACCTTTTCCATATCTATTCAATGGTTGCTGCTAGGGCTTTCATATTTCACAGGTTTATTCCTCGAGACAAGACCTTATTTTGGGTACCAACACATTTGATTTGCATTTGAGAAGGTTTAACCCTTGCAATAAGTTGCCATATGGGGCATCAGTGTTTCACAAACACATCTTGTTTTCCTAAATATTTCCATGTAAACAAACTTGAAAATGCTTTGTGCTGAGGGAGGTTGACAGATGGATAATGGCCACTATAAACTTCAATCAGAAAAGCTCACTGGAGCTAAAAACCAGAAGTCTCTGATGAGACTGTAGCTCTACTGGTCTGTACGTAAAGGAAAAGTAGCACTCGGATTTGAAACTTTGCAACATGCAGCAATAAAGAGAATTATGTATCTGAATGTAGTCTACTTGTGTGCCAAGTTATACTGAAATCAAACAAAAACTGTAGGAGGAGTAGCATTTTGAAAGTATTTCACAGAAATTTCTATTTAAAGTAACCATGGCAACACCATTTACTGAAATCAAAAACCGAAACACACTATTATGTATTGTAGTGTAGTCTAATTGTGTGCCAAATTAGATTGAAATTAGACCAAAACTGTAGCAGGAGTAATGTTTTAAAGGAATTTTCCATAAATTTCTATTTTTAGTTACCATGGCAAAACCATTCATCAAAATTAAAAACCGATGCATTAAATTATGTACCTTAGTGTAGTGTACTTGTGTGCCAAGTTATATTGAAATCAGACCAAAACTGTAGGAGGAGTAGCGTTTCTAAAGAAATTTCACAGTAATTTCTATTTTTAGTAACCATGGCAACATTATCATCAAATCAAAAACCGATGCACTAAATTATGTATCTTAGTGTAGTCTACTTGTGTGCCAAGTTATATTGAAATCAGACCAAAACTGTAGGAAGAGTAGCATTTTAAAGAAATTTTACATAAATTTCTATTTTTAGTAACCATGGCAACACTGTTCATCGAAATCAAAAACCGATGCACTAAATTATGTATCTTAGTGTAGTCTACTTGTGTGCCAAGTTATATTGATATCAGACCAAACCTGAGGGAGGAGTATAGTTTTAAGGGAATTTCACAGAAATTTCTATTTTTAGTATCCATGGCAACACCATTCATTGAAATCAAAAACCGATGCACTAAGTTATGTATCTTAGTGTAGTCTACTTGTGTGCCAAGTTATATTGAAATCAGACAAAACTGTAGGAGGAGTAGCCTTTTAAAGGAATTTCACAGAATTTTCTATTTTTAGTAACCATGGCAACACTGCTCATCGAAATCAAAATTCGATGCACTAAATTATGTATCTTAGTGTAGTCTACTTGTGTGTCAAGTTATATTGAAATCAGACCAAAACTGTAGGAGGAGTAGCGTTTTGAAAAATTGTTTACAGACAGACGGACAGCTAGACGGACGGGTGACGGACACCTTACTATCGCATAAGCTCTTCTGGTCTCTGACCAGTAGAGCTAAAAATGGGCTTATAATCTTTTAATACAAGTAAATTTCCCTTTTCTTACTTTCCTTACCTGAATAAACAGTGCATAGGCTACTGGCATGCTCCTTATTGACATGAAGAATTCTCCCTGATTCATTGATTCTTTTAACCTCAGTAACACAGTGTAAACTACAACACAAAAAAATGTTCATCTGAGTGTCATAAGGCAATTTTTTTTCTTTCTGAATCACATAATGCATTCTTTTCTCTTTTCCACTTTTTTCTCTTTACATTTTTAGGCCAGGAAAAGTATTCATATTTTCTTTTACTGACAAACTTACACAATTACTGATAATGTTCAGTCCTACTGCAAAATGAGATATTTTCCTGCTAGTATTTATAAAGTTAGAAGAACAGACTGACGAAGGGGCACCATGGCCACAACAGTTATCTTGGCCCTGCTGTTCTTCAGAAAGAGATTTTTCCCACTATATTATAAGTGCTCGCTCTGTGATTGGAAGGTCGTGTGTTCAAATTACGGCCACGATTAACCTAAGTTGATAAAAAAATAGGTAGCAACTGTTCCTTCGCCAAGCACTCGGCACTTTGAAGTGCAAGTTGCTGCAGTAATGTAGCCCTCTCTGATTTTTTTTTTTTGGGAGAGGGCTACAACTCCTTAGGATCTCCGTAATGGTGCAAGTCCAGGAGTGATTCACTACCGCACAGATTTCGGCTCAAATTATCAGTAAGTGGGTATTTTATTAACATATCTTACCTGAACTCATAAAATGTAGTTATGAAAGACATGAATCGATCCAAAAATATACAGAACAATACGTATATCGGTTATTTTTCGTGTATGTCAACATCACAACTTCAATTTATCCGCCATGTTTACTGACCTTGATCGATTTTATTTTGGGACAACCAATGAGAATTCATGATCTAGGGGCATGGATCTGTTTAGGATTTCCCTTATTTTAAGCATAAATATCACTGTTTATGAAAAAAATAGCCCATGGAATGCTTTTATTTATTGATGTTTAGTGATATCATACAACACAAACATTTATCAATGCCGACATTTACTTTATCAAGTGATTCTAAATTTCAAGCGCAAGTCTCAGTACATCACATGAGAACTGTCATGGCTGCTGAGGAGAACGACTGGTAAACATGCAGATTTATTTTACTTGGTTTTCGCGTATAAAGGGCTATAATGTTGATAGTGAATAAAAATTCCGTCTTATTGGAAGTAAGTTGAATGCAAAAACAATTTATTTTGCCTACAGTCGTCCGTATCTAAAAAATATATTTGCACCATTACGGAGATGCAGTGGAATTGTAGCCCTCTCCTGAAAATATCAGATTAAAAAAATCGGAGAGGGCTACATTATTGCAGCCTCTCCTGAAAATATCAGATTAAAAAAATCGGAGAGGGCTACATTATTGCAGCTAGTTGCAGGTTGTTCAGATGGCACAGTAGGTGTAGCGTAGTTAAATTCTGAGCTTGTTAAATATTCCAATACACATAAAAAAACTTCTATATTCCTGTTAAAATGAAAACACAGCGTAAAGTTCACAATTTATTAATGGTGATAACTCAAAAACAAACGAGAGACTTAGTCAAAACTTCCACAACTACTACTCTACGCTTCTACAATCTCTCCCCTTATAAAAAGAAAAACTTACTCCTCCACTTACGTAATAATCTAAACTCCTCTTTCCAAAATAACTCCTCCCAAGGAATACAAATACTAAATTTAGGTCAGTGCGGAGGAGTAAAAGAAATTTATAGATTACCGAATTACATGTTAACCCAAATAAAGAATACTTTAGTTAACTTTAAATTATTAAAAAAACATTTTATACAAAATAATAAATAGACAAAGATACGATTAACTGTAAATCTGCTACACTTCCCCCCACGTAAGTTTTGACCCCGTCAAAATAGTGTAAGAGTTAGTTTAACAATAACAAATAAACATTGTCAATTATACACAATATTTACAGTCAATATTTTCACACATTTTACATTTAAGCAGAGTTTTGTCTTTTCAACGCGGTCAAAAACACAGGAATTTCTTGCAATGCTTCCTCTGTCACTTTGCTAATGTCCACTCTTTTAGGATCGATTCCTTCCGAAAAATAAATGTCCATGGATCTGTCCTCCCCGGTCACCTCACCATTTTTGAACGTAATATTCTTGGTCATCGTGATTCCTATTGTGTGTGTCACTGTCACAATATTGTTGTTTTCCTCATTCTTTTCATCTATCTCTTCCTCACATTCATCACTCGATATTTCAATTAACTCCTGATCACATGTACAGGCACTATCACAATATGGTTCAGTTTTACTGTCACTATCAGAAGGTAAATCTTCCATAAAGAAATCTTCTTCATCACTGGATATGTCACTATAGTCTGGGTGACGAATAATTCTGTCCTTGAAATCCATAACATGAAATTTACAAGTTAAATACACTCAAATCAAAATCACAAATAATTAATTAATTGCTGAGAAAAATCTCCATGTCTGGCGGTCACATGTCTCTTCAAATTATCCAGTCTTTTAAAACGTTCATTACAAATTCCACAACAGAAAAATCGTACAGTTTCTTCATGTAATTGTCTAAAATGTCTTTTAAAATTGTCCAATCGAGTAAATAACAATCCACATTTCTCACATAATACTGTCTTCATAGCGTTTTGGAATTCGAATGGCCCTCCCCCGTCTTGTTTTTGTAGGTGTACCCAATTTTTGTGTATCACGTGACTGGTCGGTCGGAGGTGGCTCTGCAGCTGGAATACACGGGCCGCGGTTTGTCTTTGGCGCGCTGGCATCTCTCATGCGCGGGGATACGGCGGTCTCTTTTGAAATTGAGGAGGGAACCAGCTCGGGCGTCTTTGTAGTTTTTTCGGGTATCTCTTTGATTTTGAGGAGGTGTTTTAGTTTTAACTTTGCAGTTTTCCGTATTTGAAATGATTTTAGGTTGTCTGCATGGACAATGACGGGATTAGATTTTCTTGAATGTCTGATTTCAAACAACACATCACTTAATTTTTTAGTAATAATCCAGGGTCCACCCAGTTCCGAGCTAATTTAAGCTTTGTGCCCACTCTTTGTTTCGGCTGAAATCTCCTCACAATATCACCCTCGTTGAAAGTTTTTCGAACAGCAGTTTTATCGTAATTTTTCTTTTGCTTCCAAACTGCTCCCAAAGTTCTGTCTCGTGCTAATTTGTGTACTAACTCCAAGTTTTTGCACAAACTTTTTACATATTTCGTTTCCGTTATCTCTTCTCCTTTCCCGATTTCCAGCGATTCTGTTTGTAAATCTACGGGTACAGTCATCTCCGAACCAAACATCATACGGTAAGGTGTAATTCCCGTCGTGTCGTGTACTGAAGAGTTATAAGCCATCACAACACAATCAATGTAATCATCCCAGTTAGTTTGTTTCACATTTATATACTTAGACAACATATCTTTAATTGTTCTGTTTAGTCTTTCCACCATTCCGTCGGATCTCGGATGGAATGCAGTTGTTCTTGTTTTAGCAATGTCAAACATTGAGCACAAATGTTGAAACACTAAACTTTCAAACTGTACTCCTTGATCACTATGGAATTCATATGGACATCCATACCTTTTAATCCAGCCACGGAAAAAGACGGTAGCTATTGTTTTTGCTTCCATGTTCGGCATAGGCAAAATCTCTGCAAATTTTGTAAAGTAGTCCGATATAACCAAAACATATACATTATCATTTGCAGTTTTAGGAAATGGTCCTGCAATATCTGCTCTTTCAAATCTTCCACCAGCAATATAGGTTTGCATATAATTTCGCCTTTTTCTTCCTGGATTTTTCCGTTCTTCACATACATCACAGGACTTTACATAATAACGTACACTTTGTTTCATTCCCGGCCAATAATATGAAGAAAGTAAAGCTCGTTGCTGAGTTCTATAAATTCCCATATGTCCAGAGGTAGGTGCATCATGTAAATGCCACATAATATCCTCGTGCATTCCTTTAGGGGTACAGATACGCAATCCATTATTTTCCTTTTCCATCCAAAGAATGCACAATACATTTTTATGGATCTGAAGTAGTTCCCAACGTGCATGCCAAAATTTACAGTCGGGGTTTAAGTGTGAAATTTCCTGGTACGAAGGCTTATTTTCCTTTCCGTGATTTTCAAATAACTTCAAAATGGGGAAAATTCCGTCATCATCTTCTTGTGCCTTACGTATGTTTTCAAAAGTTAACTCAGTTACTGGCATTTCTACACCTTTGGCTCGCTTTGGTCTATTCTCCGCGCATCCTTTCTTCTTACTTTTCACTTCAAAACAATTTTCCGCACTGAATAAATTTTCAATATCATATATCATATTTCCAGTGGATGCAATATCAATATCAACAGTATGCTTTCTTAATTCATTCACGTGCGATTGCTGTTTTCCATCATAAACATCGTTGATTTTTCGATTGCATTGCCTACAAACGTCCTCACTGTCATGTTCACTTGCTTTTGGTAATCGGGATAATGCGTCCGCATTACTGTGATTTCTCCCCGGTCGGTGTATAATTTTAAAGTCATATGCTGATAACTGTTGAAGCCACCGACAAACCTGCCCGTCTGGATCTCTAAACCTGTGTAGCCAAGTTAAGGAACTATGATCAGTCCGTAAGATAAATTCTCGTCCAAGAAGATAATGTTTAAAGTGTTTCACAAAGAAAACGACTGCTAACATTTCTTTCCTAGTAACACAGTAATTTTTCTCATGAGATGTTAACGTTCGGCTAGCATACTGCATCACTTTTTCTTCACCATTTTGAATTTGTGACAATACACAACCAATCGCATCATTACTAGCATCGGTATCTAGCACAAATGGTCCACCATCTACATCCGGGTATCCAAGAATTGGAGAGTGCATAAGTTTGTCTCTAAGTTCATGAAAAGCATGATCACATTCAGGAGTCCAGTTCCATACACAGTTTTTCTTAGTTAAGGCATGAAGGCATTTTGCTGTTTCCGCAAATCCTTTAATAAACTTCCAATAATAAGACATAATACCCAGAAATCTCCGTAAGTCTGTCACATTTCTAGGAATTCCTATATTCTTTATTGCCTCAATTTTCTTGGGATCTGTATGCACCCCATGTCTTGAAACTACATG